CTCCTGGGCCCTACAGATGAGCTACTCACGGCTCCATCCCACTCCCCACCCCAGCCCTGGGTCCCATTCACCGCCTTGGCTGGGCAGTGCCCCCAGTCTCTGTCCCTGGCCTACTGCCTCCCTCACTGTGGGGGCGTTCATCTGAGCCTCCCACGCCCCTTCCCCTTTACAGACTTACCTGCAGTGTGCTGCTCTCCACGCTGCCTGGCTGCACTCCTGCTGCATGGTGCCCAGCTGCTCTCCACTGCTGTATGTGCGTACTGCAGCTGCGCACATGCACAGTGTCTGGGGCCCCAGACAGAAGGCGCATTGTATCTATCAATACATTATCAGTTACACTGGCCAAAAAAACCCGATAGCCGATAATTTTCCTTTCATCAGTGCCGATTTGATATGGCACTGTTATATTGCTGTACCTCTCTAGAAGAAAGATTTAAAGAACTGGTTTAGTCTAGATAAGAGCAAAAAGACATTATAACAGTCTCCAAATCTGTAAAAGGTTACTGTAAAAAGGAAGGTAATAAATTGCTCCCCATGTCCACTGGACAAGTAGTAATAGACTTGAACTGTAGTAAGGGAGATTTAGGTCCTTTAACCATGGGGGGAAGGGGATGTTCGATCTATAAAGCAGTAGATGATTTGGAGATTATGGAATCTTCATTATTGAATGTTTTTAAAAACAAGCTAAGCAGACATATACCAGAAATGCTTTAGGTACTGCTGATCTGGGTTGGGTCTGGGGAAGTTTGACTAGATGAACTCAAGGTCTCTTCCAGCCCTGTTTTCAGGGCAGTACTAGAGAACAACGTTTAACAGAAAAACAATAGAAAAGTGAAACCTTTCAAGAATCAGGTTTTGGATTCCTACCAAGATGGTAAAAAGACATATTATAATCTATATTAATAGTATTAATTGTAAATATTTTCAAAATGACCTAACAGTTTAGGTATAATATTCACTTAACATGTCTTATATCCTCTCTCAAGGGACGATATTCTATATTTTAGGCACCACACACACACACACACACACACACAAATTTTGACATGAAAGCTACATAAAGGTTACTCTGTGAATGGTTTATATATTTTTTTCTTTTAAACCTTGCAACTATCAGAAACATCAAATCAGGACTTTCCTGGGTGTTTTTTCCCTGGAGGGCTTTCCTGGAAGTCCTAGCAGTATTTATTGAGAGATTTCACTTTTAAAACTTCATGGATTTTAACATAGATATTGCTTATTCCCAGTGTTCACTGGGTATTGGGGTTATGACATAGATATTAATAAAGAGTTTTGAAATAATGAACTAAATATATAGGCCATGAACAGGTGTTACATTTGGGCCAGGAGAAAAATTTCTCCTGACACACAAAAAAAGAGCAAACACCCATTTAAGGGGTTTAATCACTAAACCAGAGAAATGCTTCTTCCACAAGAAAAATCAGAGCACTTCCCATCAGGAAGATTTTTCTTCTCTTGTGTCATCTTGAACAGCTGATGCATCTCCTGCCCCCTCCAGGCTCCCTGTCCCCACCAACTACAAGCCCTGGCATGATGTTCTCCCTCTTCAGACTCTCTAATTTGGCAAGTTTTGATTTCACCAGACAGTGAGTTCAGGAATGATAAACTCCCCAGGCCATGGGTTGAAAGAAGAGAGAGCAGGATTTACTTTTAGCCAAGGTTGAAAGAACTCTAGTCTCTATTATTCACTTTTGGTAATCTGTCTTTTGCTACCCTGGTTTAATCTGTTTTATGGCCTATTCTCCAGAAAGAGAAATAGTCAAGAGCCCCTTGAACATGTGTAACGTTTGCTGTTCTTCATTCTGTACATTTCTCCCAGTATCTCAGTAAACAATATGACATTGCTCCTCTACCACTCAACTGGAACTTTAATCCACACAAAAGCAAAGATTGTGAAGCCTAAAAAAGATGCTCCTCCAGGGACTCTGTGGCTCATTAGTCAATTCCTCTTTAATGCATTTTTATGGCCTTTTCAAGTAATAAATCTCAAGACAATTTTCATAAGAATAAATGAGGTTCTGCCACAACTGAACAGAAGCATTCTAGATAAACAAAACCCTATTTCGATATCAGAGTAGGAGAAAAAATTTTTTTTAAAAGAGATAACTTTTTGGCACGTACAGATAAATCCCCATAGGCTCACAGCAATATGTCTTTATATATGTTTAAAATAAATCTATTTTAATGTCTACTATATTTTTTAAATTTTTCGTTAATCCCAGTTTGCAAGACAAAACCTCTTATACCATCCTCATCAGTGTAACAGTATCTCAGCATCTTTCAGTAATGGACTAAACAACCTAATATCTGTCATCTCTGCAACTGTTTTTGTTTACCATAAAAATATTGCTATTGTTAACTAGGCAGGCTAATACATCATTAAGCAAGACCCATGGAAATTCCTCGAAATTAAGCAGTAAGATAATAAAGTGTGTGTTGCTGAAGTTTAGTATATTCCACTTGAACCATGGATACATTAACATTAAAAAGCAAGAATATTCCCCCATTAAAAAACCCTCATTGTTCTTAGGAACTGACAGAGAGAGTCCAGACATTTTAATCCCGGCAGAAAAAGGCAAACCCACTACAATGATTTAAAGATCACTTACCAAGTATTTGCAGACTTCCCTAGATATCCGGAGGAGACGCTTCTATTTTTTCTCCTAAAGGCAAATAGTGGTACCAAAAGAGGAAGCTGATCTGAGATAGTACATACATACAACTGCCAAACCAGATTTTGGTTTGTTTTTATTATATTTACAAACCTATCACAATGTCAGTCACTGCAATAATCCACCCAATCCCCAAACCCGTCTTCCTTTGACCAATCATGTAAAAGGATGAAGCAGTAAACTCTCACTCATTCAAAGTGTCCAGCACATGCTACAATTATCACACTTAAATACTTTTCTTAGGCAAGGGGGAGACTGCCAAGAGAATGAAACCATAAGAAAATGAACCACTGTCTAATACACAAGCAAAATAAAGCATTTAAACTCTGTACGTGCATTTAGCTTTTCTACAGTTTTCATACACAGACCAAACAAAAGTAAAAACACAATTATGCATGCTCATATTTCAGATATGCTCTAAATGGCACTGTAAACTACAAGCAATTTGAGTATCTGAGTGTAGAGCAAGATCATGTGTTAGTGTTATTCACTAAGAGAGCAAGAGAACAAGGCTGTAATAGCAAAATAACCACATGCCATTAAATGAAGCAGGCTTGCTCAAACACACTCCCGTCACTTCCTTTCTTCCCTTCCTTGCTGCCATTTCACTTAGCTGGCATGCCATTCTGTCAACCCAAAGCTCTCAAAAGCCAGGAACCAGAATCAAACCAAACCAACAAGAGAGGATAGAGTGTCAAAATAATAAATACTTCAGGGATTTTTCTCATTTGCCCTGCAGGTTTCTGAATCTCAAGTGTGATGACAGCTTCCTGGACTGTCTTTATAAGAGAACTAAAACCTTATTTTCACCCCATGAAAGCTGAGGTTCATACATAATCAACTGACTGCAAGCACCAAGGCTTCAAGATCCCACCAAGCCTTATTAGACTAGCAAAATACCATGGCAGCTGGCAATGCAAGCGTGAGATTTAGCCAGCCATTACGCACACACCCATTGCAGCCAATTGACTAACAGCTTCATTGGCAGCTCCTTCCAATGGGGCGCACAGGATCTAGAACCCCCACCCCCAACACAGAGGCTGCATGTTCACACTAGTGGCAGAGATTTGCAGGCTCAGTCCCTGGCACAGCACCCTCCCTCTTGCTGCCAACACAGATGCTCAGCACCATCCAAATGGGGACAGCCAGCTCTGCCCCAGGCACCGCATCTCCCACCTTATCAGCTGGTGCCAAGGCACAGCGCGCGCTGACAGCGCTGCTTGCCCATACCGGGGCCCCAGCAAACTAGCAGCAGCTACGTGGGCCTGGACACACCCGGTCACCCCTGCAGCACGTGGCTACCAGCCCCGCCCCCACTCGCGCATGCGCGCTAATGCTCCACCGCCCCTCCAGACTGAGTCACGTGCCTGGCTGAGGCGCGGCTGCAGTAACGCCAAACTACATCTCCCGTTATGCCCCGCGGGACGAGACCGGCACGTGGGCGACGGAGGCGGGGCGGGGCTGCGCCGGCGGACTACAGTCTGGGCATGGCCTTGAGCGAAGGGCGAGGGCAGTGGCCCTTTTTTCCTGTTCCCTCCCTTCCGGGCACGCCCACTGTGCGCGGGCTTCCACCCCCGCCCCCTAGTTCAGGCAGGAGCCAATAGGCGGCGGGGGGTGGGGCGAGGCAGCCAGGTGAGGCGGGGGCGCTGGGAGAGGGGGGTCGCAGGTGGGGGTGGGGAGTTAATGGCTGCGCGAGGGCCATGGCAACCAGTGTGGCAACTGGTGGGGGCGGGGTGCGCGGCGAGCCAGAGCTGTTGGGATGGGGCGCGTGAGGCGCTGAGGCTTCAGGGGGCCTTATGGCCTCAACTCTACCATACATGCCTGGCCCCAGCTCAGCGAAGCAGTCCCTTCCCCGGAC